AGCCAAAATAAATTCATATCTTCTGTGCCACCAACATGGGACTCAGAGGAGATGCACTCAAGCTCCGCATCCATCACCTGCCACCCCATGCAGAAGCAATGCTCCGTGCCCTAAGTCATGCCAACATTTAGATACCAGAAGCACTTTTGTCACAAGGAGGCAAAAGTACATGATGAGCTTGCATGGAGCGTTGCAGAACTCGTGCTCAGACAGGCAGATAAGCACGGGCACCAGAGGCATCGATCGATGAGAGCATGTGTTTAAGAGTGAGCCTTGCAGATCAATACATCTCTGACTGGTTAAAAGGCCAACTCCAACTGCTTGGAGCTGAGCCCTGCCCAAGCGCATGGAGAGCTCGCTGCCATCCCAGACATCTGTAGGAGTATTCCAGACCTGGGGAGGGAGCTTTGAGTAACTCCTGTGTATCTTCCATTCGTTATCCTGGGCCTTAGGTGGAAAAGCTGCGCTTTGAAAGCTTAATCGCTCCAGCTGCAAAGGTTGTTGAGGTCAAATGCTTGAAATGTGGAGGTGCTGCTGGAAGACATGTGGCTGCAGGCGCAGAGCATGAAGTTTTGTGTAGCTGACATGTAAAGCAGCCTTGTGGGCAGAGTGGGGCTTTCAACATGTTGTTTGCTCCCAAAAGCTCAATGAAGTTCTCAGCCTGGAGACCTTAGAGCAGCTCCAGCACCTAAAGGGGCTGCAGGAAACCTGGAGAGGGGCTTTGGACAAGGGCCTGTGGGGACAGAAAAAGCAAAAGCCATTCCCATCCTTGCAGTCTCCGGCTTCATTTGCCTTGGGAGCTACCAGGTGAGCAGGGTCCAAGGAGGTCCTCTTGGGTGAGGAAGGCTGATGTATTTGGGGCCCAGTTGAGTCAGCAGTTACATGTTCTTAGCAGTGGGTTCGTGATATCTCACCTGTAAACCTCATGTCATCTAGTATCACCTTATTCAACCTTGCCCTTCTCCTCTGACCGTATCATCCCCTGGTCTAGTGTCTTCCGTTGTTGTCTTCTGCTGCCCGTCTTGTGCAGCCCCTGGTGTAGCAGCTCTGGGGCTGTGATTCCTTGGTGCTGCATTTCTATCAGTGCTTCAGAGTGAACACAGTGCTCTTAAAAACTGAGATACATGACAAAATAGTAGAAAAATAGCAAGGAATAGTAAGAAAACAAAGAATGATTCATCTTGGAACAGAAGCTCTTTAGAAGTGGAGGTGGTGTTGCTGGCCAGAGGCATGGATTCATATTAGTGGGTAACACAGTTTTTAAGCCAAATTATGCAGAGTTAATGACTTCCTTTGCAAATCAGCCCCCACCCCTTAGGCCCTCTGGTTGGCTGAGGTGTGAGACCATAGCAGCAATACTAAAGATAGGAAGGTTATCTGTCTCAACTGCATGAAGATGCTGTGTGATGAGAGGAGCCCAGAGTGTTCCTGTGTCACACTCAGGGCTGCTTTGCATCCCATTAATTCTGCTTCAGAAAGTCTCTTTTGGGTTGGTTTTAGCTTCTAGTGGAAGCAAGGGACTGACCTCGAGTTACTTGGTGTTCAGCATAGCTTTGGGATGTGGGAACCTCATGTCACCCTTAACTCAGTGATGTGTCAGCCCCTGGGCTGCAAATGCCTTTGTCCAGCTTGGAGCAACTTCAGCTGCCAAAAACATGAGCTCCTTTGAATTTAACCCACTTTTCGGTTGTTTAATTACCTACATTGTCTCCCAAGTGGCCTCAGGCTGCATCAGAGGCTTTCAGCATGGGAGACCTTATGGACAGTAGAAATCTCTGTTTGGAGGAAAGAGTTTATTTGTTTTAGTAGTAAGGGAATAAATTCTGTAACTAAATAGCAGCTAGAAAGTAGATGTCACCTCCTGTTTTCTCTAGCTTGGAAGTACATACCAAGCTGGAGAAATCATGGAGGGGGAGCCCTTGGGATAGGCAGCAGTGTAAGGACCAGGAGCCTGGAGATGCTCTTGGTCCCGATGGGCGGCAGTGGTGATGTGGGCTGAATCCAGGGTGTCCTCTGCTCACCCAGCAAGTGCTGCTGCTGGGTTTTCTTCCTCAATGCCCAGAAGTGTTGTCATCCAGGTGGAGCACTCCCAGCTGCTTATCTCCTGCTTCTGAGCAGCACAGGTTTACCAGATACCGTTTGCCATGGAGGGGACACCATCCAACCCACCATGGTCTGTAATCTCCTCCTTTCTTCTTCCAGAGGAGACAACGTTCGAGGCTGGAGTCAAAGTCCAGATCCACAGCCAGTCTGAGCCACCCTTCGTCCAGGAACTGGGGTTCGGGGTGGCCCCTGGATTCCAGACCTTTGTGGCCACCCAAGAGCAAAGGGTAAGTCAAGTCCTCCATTTCATTTACATGCCAAGATCCTTCCAGTGGGTCTATATGAGAGCTTGCTTCTAAGTACCAGTGCCCCTTGAGAGTCATCCTCTTCATTAACAGTAGGTTTTATGCCTTGCTTCAAATTGGTTGGGATGAGGGCAGGTTTTTCAGTGTTGCTTCCCATGCATTGCCCATGATCCATTTAATTTTGGCCACAGAAGGGGCTTCATCCCTGGTAATTTCCCTGCCTTGCTCTTCCATACCCTCAAGGGCAGCCGTGGCTGCAGTGACCATGAAATGCTGTCGTATGAGATCCTTTGGGCCGCAAGGAGGCTTCAGGAGAGCAGACTTTGATCTCTTCAGGGATCTGCTTGGTAGAGTACCATGGGATGAAGTCCTGGAGGGAAGAGGGGCTGGTTGATGGTCAAAGATCACGTCCCCCAAGCTTAGGAGCGATGCATCTTGACAAAGAAGGAGTCAAGCAAGCACTCCAGGAGGCTTGCATGGGTGAACAAGTTGCTCCTGGACAAATTCAGACACAAACAGGAAGCCTACAGAGGCTAGAAGCAAGGACAGGTAGCCTGGGGGGAATATAGAGAATGGCCCAAGCAGCCACAGAGCAACTCAGAGAGTTGCTGAACAGGCTGGAGACATGGGACCACGTGAACCTCATGGAGTTCAACAAAGCCAGTGCAAGGTCCTGCCCCTGGGTCGGGGCAATCCCAGCACAGACATGAGCTGGGGGGGGATTGGATGGAGCACCCTGAGAAGAAGGACTTGGGGGTGTTGGGTGAGGAGAAGCTCCCCATGACCCGGCTTCAGTGTGTGCTTGAGCCCAGAACCCCCCGTGTGCTGGGTGCACCCCCAGAGTGTGAGCAGCAGCTCAGGGAGGGGATCCTGCCCTTCTGCTGTGATCTAGGGAGACCCCCCTGCAGCCCTGATCCAGCTCTGGGGAACAGCACAAGAGGGATGTGGAGCTGCTGGAGCGAGGCCAGAGGAGGCCCCGGAGCTGCTGCGAGGGCTGGAGCAGCTCTGCTCTGGAGCCAGGCTGAGAGAGCTGGGCTGGGGCAGCTGGAGAAGAGAAGGCTCCTGAAGGGGACACCTTAGAGCAGCTTCAGGGCCTAAAGGGGCTCCAGGAGACCTGGAGAGGGGCTTTGGACAAGGGCTTGTAGGGGGAATATAGAGAATGGTCCAAGCAGCCACAGAGCAACTCAGAGAGTTGCTGAACAGGCTGGAGACATGGGACCACGTGAACCTCATGGAGTTCAACAAAGCCAGTGCAAGGTCCTGCCCCTGGGTCGGGGCAATCCCAGCACAGACATGAGCTGGGGGGGGATTGGATGGAGCACCCTGAGAAGAAGGACTTGGGGGTGTTGGGTGAGGAGAAGCTCCCCATGACCCGGCTTCAGTGTGTGCTTGAGCCCAGAACCCCCCGTGTGCTGGGTGCACCCCCAGAGTGTGAGCAGCAGCTCAGGGAGGGGATCCTGCCCTTCTGCTGTGATCTAGGGAGACCCCCCTGCAGCCCTGATCCAGCTCTGGGGAACAGCACAAGAGGGATGTGGAGCTGCTGGAGCGAGGCCCGAG